CATATGTATTGTGTAATAAAGTTATTGAAATATGTATACTATATTAGTATATTATATTCCATGATATTATCAATTTCAAATTTTCAATTTAATTTATTTCTAGAAACCAAAAAAAAATAGCAAATATAGCAAATATAGCGTATAATAATTATCGGTAAGAAGCAAGTTTGTAAGAAATTATAAATTATATAGGTACCTACCTAAAAATAGATATTGAAAATTATTTTATGAATTCGTAAGGTAATAATAATTGATTCAAAAATAGATACAATTAAATACATACATTTTTAAGTTAGAAACAAGATCAAAATTGAAATAATAGTTTACTGGTCCGTTACATTAGCATAAAATGTAAATAGCCTAAAATACGACAGTATAAGATTATCCACTAAAAGGTGTAAAAGTTATCTAAATCATTCATTTTTTTTTCTTTTAGGTTTAAAAATAATTTTTTTGTCATAAACTATAAACTATAATCAAAAGCAAGTGAAAAAATATACAAAATTTAATTTATAATATGAACTGTTATTCCGAAGATTATATTCTCATTATGTTTGTATATTTTAAATGGACGGTTGTGATCGTTCTCTTAACTAATTATGTAGGTATACGTATTATACTACTAAGAGGTAAAAGTTTTGAGCATTATTGACTATATAATATATAATATGTTTGAAATTTTGTTCAAGCTTTTTAAAATATAAGTTTTTGACCGCCGCAAGTGCATTCTACCGACTTATTCGTTTCACTTGTCTAATTAGTCGTTTTTTTTTACAGAAAAAATTACTCCGGTTATTCGCTGGAAACAAGACTGCATTTTCAAATTCATTGCGCTTGGACCACGCTGAACGAGCGCAAAGCCAAAACCTCAACGGACCACGACGATCTCGCACCTGACAGTCAAGTCGACGACAACCAAAGAGAAAACCATAGATTTACATCTACCTAATATATATTATATATATAATTATTATTGTCGACAGTCTCGGCCAAAGTTCATATTTTAGTTAGGTTGCGTTGTTCGACATATTGTTATTTTAAAATAAAATAGGTGATAGTCGTGATACATAGTCCCATGACGCCAGTCGTGTTTAGCATGYGGTTAGTTGTTCATCTTCATTTTATTTTATTATATTTCTGATAATTGATAATTTCCATATAATATGAAAAAGAAAAGACTTTAATCGATACATTCCCGTACGAAACTCCTAGACCAAATCCATGGACCTTCTCCCTCGTCAACACCAACAAATCGTTAACGTCATTGCGGTGACGTCAAACAGTAGGTTAATTAGGTAGTTATATATTTTTTTWATAGTTTTCAGCACATTAGTTCCATTTTTCGTACTGCAGCTATAGATTTTTTACTTTGCTTGAATTCAATTTCAACTAAACAACTAAACTATATTTACATAATAATATTACATACCTAATACCCATCTATAAATTACGGTCTATTTAATGTGACACTTATCGACTGCTATTATGATACTACAATTCGATGACAAAAACGCCACAAGTCATAGCGTAATTTTCATTATATTTTCATTTTGCTAATAAACTMGAACTTTATTTATTCGTAAGTTGTATTCTTCGAAGAAAAGATAAAAAAAACACGTACAATTGCCAACGTACAATATAAAACGTGCTCGTGAGCGTTATTTGCATTGCATAACAGTTATAACAGACCATAAATGAATATTTTAGATACAGTCTTTATATTTTACCGGTTTGTTAATGAAGTTAGTTAACGCATTTATAACAAAAATAACAGCATTTAAATCGTGGTTTTAGAAATTATTTTTAATGATCGTTTCTATTGGATTTCAATTCTTTTTAGCTAGGAATATATTATTATAATTTATTAAATTTATTGAAAATTGAAAAAAAATTAATTATCTTTTAAAAATCAAAAAATCTAAAAACTATAACCCTGTCTTTATTGCTTACATTACTCCTGCTGAGACCTATTTGGTCTAACGCATCGAACTATATGGGATGCAGCCAATGTTTCTAATATAAAATGTATCCAGAGATTCATTCCAATCCAAAACCCTCAAAATTATAATTAAATCTCAATTCTACGTATTTTTTTCTTTACATGAATTTTAAAATACACTGCACTGTCAAAAATCTTTCTWATAAGAGCTTCATTGCCTAATTACCCAACCTCAACTCTCTTAACATCCAAAGCAAAATTAAACTTTCGATCGTATTTCGTATCAGAAGATTGGAGAATAAAAGAAAGGAATTGAATCCATTGTTAAAACATAAAAAAAGTATGCATCACCAAAAATGCGAATGCAATTATTCAACTGGGTGGGTTAGAATGTTAGATATATTATGTGAAAGTAAACATCACTAAAGTGATATTAGTTGCACATTATTCGAAATATTATTTTTTAGATTTATAGATGTTATATTGATTGTCATGGTTGGTGTTGGTAAGGGGAAGACCACCGATTTCAAAAATTAATTTACTTATTTTAAATATTGTTGTTATTGTTGTTTAGCACCATTTAGACAAACTATATATTATATTTAAATATAGGTACCTATAAATTATTAGGGATTGTTTTTTTTTTTTTTTATTTTTATTGTTATTTTATTAGTGGTTAAGTAGCTATTATACTTTTTATTGTATTATGTTTAATTTATTTTTACATATTATTATTTACTTTTCTCGACTGTTTGAAATTAAATATTATAATACTTATCTAAATATTACCGGGTTTAAAATATATAGATTAAAAGTCAAAATTGCATTATTTTAACAAAATATAAAATATATRTCATATTATAAATATAATTCTTATTTTACTCATTGTAGTTTTTAAATAATTATAATAATAATTGTTTATTGTAAAGAGGAAAATTTACGGTAAATAATACAATCCTTTAGGGCAAAGAGTACATATAGAGTAAATACATATAACATAAAGTAACATAAATTKAATTGAAACACATCCGAACAACAAATGTTCAACGTATAATTACAATAGGAAGAAGATTATTATTGATTACTTAGAATATTTWTTAACTTGTTAAATATCTAACGATACACTGCATAACGAACTAAACATTGAAACAGTCAACCAGTTAGCTTCTAAACACTACTCTAGATTCCACCCTAAATCATCTACACATCCAATCTCAAAAATCTCATCACTTTCGTGCAAAACTMTTCCTGAAAACCCAAAAGGTATGTCGGTTGAAACGAAAATGGTGTAGAGACCTACTCAAATAAATCCCCAATAAAATAATTCACGTTGGGTTCTATCAATGGATGGCGTCCCTGTAAATTTATCATCATATTTACTTATTGAGCTCCACTAGCATAGATTGTTTATTTTCAAATAAAAAAAAAATTATTTGTTTGATTTAAAAAAAATCAAGTCAAAGTTTTTAATGGAATTACGAATTACCATTAATCAAAATTCTATTCATGGCTATAATGACTATAGTTTTGTTTTTTTGGTTGCACATAAAAGGTATTTGTATAACGAAGAGTGTAGGGTGGTGCATTAAGAGGAATTTTTTCTAAAAGCTCTGAACAAATAATTATGTTAYTTAACAATAATTTATAAAATAAATAAATATCATTATTAAACCGCATATCTGTTAAGGATTGCAGATTAATAAGTTGCTTAGCTAATTCGATTGATGGGGTGTTATTTAGTGGGGGGCTTTGCCCCCCAACAACCCTCTTCCCACCACTCGCCTTGCGCACATTTTGAGTACCTATCACTTTTCAGCTACACATAATTTAACTATATGAAAAATACTGATTGTTGTAATCTTGTTCCGGTCTGTGTGAATGTGTAATTTGTAAACATAATATATTATAATATTTTTAATGTCTTCAATTATTATAATTTTAATAATTAATTAAACACAAAATGATTCGAAAAGTCGAAATTCGTCAAATTCGACTACTATGCAAAATAGAAAAATTCAAAACACCAATAAATAATAATGAGGGTTCGGGACTTAAAGCTCTTAAAATCATTAAAATAAGCGCTTAAAAAAGCTCTTAAAAACATCATTATAAGCACTCAAATAAGCATTTAAAAAACTTAAATTTTTGCAAAAATATTGATCAAAAAACAAAAAAATTCTAACTAAAAAATCAAACAAAACCAAAATAAATCTTTATCTCTATATTATAAAATAAATTAAACTTCACTTTCGAGACTTTAAGGATTTTCTGAAAAATTAAATGTAAACGATATTTATAATACCTTGAAAACATTATAAAAACGTAGAAATACTGATCAAATAATCAAAAATAATCAGAAAAACTGAAAATAAGCATTTTTTTTTTTTTTTAAACTGCTGAAACAAGCGAAAAAAAGCGCTTTCAATCTTATAATTAAACGTATTGTAACATGACATACACTTGCATAGCACTATGCTACATTTTAAGTCAATCCATAAAAATAGGCAAATGCTTTAAGTCCCAAGCCCTGATGATAACCATAACAGTAATAACTGAAACTGACAACACTTCATTCGGAACCATAGAGTAAGATCTTTCTCTGTGCTCGGAACACGATTTTTTTAGATAGTAGGTACCAACACATTATTGTATCTGTGCATCGTAGAAAAGCACGGTTGTAGATATTAAATTGTATATATCTTAAACCGTGTAGAAAAGATATAATAATATAAATTATTAAACTACAATACCTATCAAAAAAGCGGGAAAATATTTATATTTAAAAAATATTGTAAAAAATCAGCCGTTTCACTTAAATAGGTGTTTTTACCATATACATTTTTCTGAAAATCAAATTTACAAATTGGCTATATTGAATATTTCGAAAAAAATAATTATCAATTTTTAAGTTTTTTATTTTCAGTATTAAAAAATAAAAATGTAGCGCAAGTGTCTATG